ATTTGTGAGGGTCATACCCTTGTTTTTTGAATCATTTATATTATAATATTGTGATTAGTAATTACACTAATTACAAAGATAATAAAATCTTATATTTTATTTATTAATTTATTTACATTATAAAATATGCGATGTATTATTTTTTGTTATAGTTGTAAATTAGATTTTTAAATTAGATGATATTATAAGATAAATTTCAAATTTATTTTTATTTGTATAGTAAAATGACGATTAAATAATAAAATATAAAGCAATAATTCTAATTTCACTGTATAACATTGAATTTAGTTATGTTTTAATAAATCTTTTTGAGAATCTTCATACAGGGAAATAATATCTCAATATTCGAATATTGATGCAAAAAAATAAAGTTTATTAATGTAGTACCCCTATTTTTTATTGGATTCCTAAAAAAAAACATATATAATGAATTTTAATGATTTTTTTGGATTCTTTTTAATACTTAATCTGACTGATTCGGTCGATTCTCGATCCAAATAGATTTTTTGGATGCCCGATCGAGGGCACCAATCTGTTTTTTAAACCATTGGAGCTAACTATTTTGAAAGTTTAGATGTTTACAACTTTTTCACTCAAAAAGTACAAGTGTCCGTAGTTTGGAACTTGAATAACTTTTATATTTTTTGAGTAAATACGAGGCTTAGAATCTTAGTTCCGAACTGCTTAATTTTCAAAAAGTTCTCAGTTCGGAACTTCAAGTTTTGAAACTGTGGACAATTATCGACTGTTTGAACGAATAAGTGGTTTGGAGCTTCAAGTTATGAAATATTCAACTCTAAAAATTATCAATTCGAAACTTCAACTTTTGAGCTTATATGTCACTCGTAAATAAATGACATTAGTTCGGAACTTGAATTTCCAAACTGTGGGTATTTTAGAAAAAAAAATCACAAAAAGTAGTGATGAGCATGACAAAGGGAGATAATTTTTTAAGGAAAAAATTTATATAGAGCCAAGGCTCTAAATAATCAAATCAGAGCCCACCTCAAAAATTTTACTAGAAGAGGTTGTTTTGCTACCCAATTATCCTCAAATTGATCATTTCGATATCAAGATATATGGACATGAAAAAAAAGAAATGGATTTCAAGTTTTGGAATAATGCATCTTGTAACAAATTTTTGTCTGTCAATTTTTAAGGTTTTCAAGTTTTTATAGTTCTGCTCGATCTTCATTATTTTTTAAGTTTTAAATTTTATAATTAAAGATGAAAATATAGTTTAAGGCTTTCACAAAGATTTCTAGTATTGAAAGCACATTCCCAACAATATTTAAAGGTGGGCTTTACTTTGAGTGTTTAGAGCCTCAACTCTATACAAATTGCACCCTTTTTTTAAAGGGAAATGCTGGCATAGGCACTAGCTTACATATAGGCCCAACGGCCCAGATTAAATATGGGCCAATCTGACGGACACGATTTTTCGTATTTTAATTTTAATTGTTTTCCACAAATCCAAATCATGTGAAATTTTATGCGTCTATTTTTCTCATCAACATGCACCTAATAAAAATATTAAAAAAATAATTCACAAAACATAAATTGACTAACATACCACTGACATATTTTGGGAGTAGTTTGATTAACGTATTTTTCACGATATATTTTTTTGATGTTTTTATTGGATTCTAATATTTTTAAAGAACACACGCTCAAAATTTCAAGTGATTTGGATTTATATAAAGAAATTAAAATTCAAATACGAAATGCAATTGTGATCATTGGATTAGCCATATTCAATTTGAGCCGATGGGTTTATATGTAGCTACAGACTAGTTGGCCTACACCAACATTTTCTTTTTTTGAATACAACAAAATGTATTGGATATTTATGAAAATTTCCCATAGCTATGTGCTTTGTTCTGATTACTTTTTTCATACCTATTGGATGAAAATCTCCCTTTGTCTCTGATCGGTGCCCACATATATGTCAAATTTGTTGGCAAAGTATGACCCAAAAGAAACTAAATGTAGACCACATAAAAGAACACATCATTTCACTACTTATGATTAGAATTTTGATCAAGTTTTTTTATTGATATCTGTCGTGAATATCCATGAAAATTCTGTATTCATACCACTTGCATCTATTCCTATTATAAATAAGAGCCATGTTTTTACTAAAAAAGAAATTTATATAGAGGTTGTTTTGATGCATAAATATATTCAAATTGATTATCTGGACATCAATATACATGGACATGAGAAAAAAAATAGATTCCAAGTTTTGGAAATAGTATATTTTGTAACGCATTTTTTGACCGTCCGTTTTCAAGATTTTCATAGATCTGCTTGATCTACAATTTTTTTAAAGCTTTAAATTTTATAATTAAAGATGAAAATATTTTTTAAGGCTATCACAAAGATTTTCAATATTAAAACCACATTTCTCGATACTATTTGAAGGTGTGCTTTACTTTGATGGCTCAGAGCATTAGCTCTATACCAACCTACCAATCGTCCCTTTACTAAAATAAAAGAAAAGTATACAAAGAGACCACTTACTTTTAGTACAAAAAAGGTTGCAATCATGGTTGTATTTCAAATCGGATAATTGTCATAGTCTCATTGACTAGACTAAAAGTTCAAAAACAAATTTCTTATCACATACCTAGGTCATTCAATTTAACATCTAATGTCTATAAGGAACTATAACGTCATAATAATAATGATAAATCCTGCCATAGTATACGATACTATGATAAAAATAATAATGATCAACCCCAAATCCGGATACTCGATCTTTTACTTAATATGTTTGATTTTCATAGTCAAATTGGTAACCTGGGTTATTTGCACTTAACTTGTTGACAAAGAAAATTTTTGAAACTTGGAGAGTTGCACTTAAAAGAGATTCATAACTACCTCTCCATGTGCATGCCCAGCTCCTTTTAGCTTGCATGTAAAGCCATAGCATTAGACGAGTTATATAACATACCCAAAAAAAAAAAAAACATTAAGAGGAGCTATGATCACTTGCCTTAATGGCATCGTCCCGTCTTTCACACCAACAAAAAACCATATTTTGCATGCAAAATCTCCTTTTATATATGAATACGTGAAAATTAGGTGTGGTTCTACAGGCAAGGAGAAGAATTATGAATACATTTACAAAGATAATTGAGAAACGAAGAAGAAAAGAAGAAATTCACGACGACTTTGTACAATCCCTACTATGTGAAAGAGGAGATGAAGATGGCGCGATGCTTACCGATAAACAAATTTGTGACAATATTTTAACACTCATAATCGCAGGTGATGCTTCCAATTAGGTTTGCAAAGGTTTGGATGCTTGATTTTGTCTAAATTTTTATAAAATAATAAATTTTCAAAAGAATTTGATTTCATTATTGAAATCTAGAAATATTATCTTATATTTTATATTTTACACTCAAGTTTTGCATGTACAATAAGGAGAATTTAGGTGTGGTACCAATAGGCGATGAGATGAAAGAAAGTAGAATTAGGTAGGCTATTCATGTATGGTACAAACCCATTTCAACATCGGTTGGGAAGTGCGAGTTAGTTCAAATGGAAGGCTCAAAAAAAGCAAGGGGTAGACAGAAAAAGACATGGTTAGAAATAATGAGAAAAAAATATAAGGACTTATGACCTCACTGAATATATGACCCTTAATAAAGTAGAATAGCAGACCAAGATTCATGTAACCCCCAATTAGTCGAGGAAGAGCTCTGATGATGATGATGGCACCCAATCATGAGAGCTACTATTGTAATTTAGTTTTAATTTATTATATGCATGGAATTGAACTCGAATTTGGGAAACTCGAATTCGGGGTGTAAATATTTTTCACCATCACACACAATAAAAATACAAAACTTGAATTTGAGAGATATAAAATGACCAAAATACCTTTGAAATATGTTTTGATAATTTTATTGTCATAATGTTTTTTATATATATCTTCTACAATCTGCACGATGGTAAGAAGTATAGACACCAAAAATTTGAGTATGCGTCGAAAAAGTGATAGAATTAAAATACAATATACAACCTCATAATTGGTACTTGAATGTAAAATATAAGAGTAGGGCAATATTTTTAATTTGATAATAAAATGCATCTTTTCTTTAAATTTCCTCAAAATATGCATAACACAATTTGTACAACCCAAAGATTGGGTAGTGTAGCAGGAACACATTATTCATTTGAACCTGCAGGTCAAATGAACAAACTCTAAAAACATATTTATCTCACTTTCAAATAGATTTGAAAAGAAAAAGCGTAGCCTTCCAAATGAGACTCCTCGGACAATTTCAAGGTGGAAATCAAAATAATTTAAGTTCGGATCAAGTGCTCTTAGTGGACAAAATTGCACAATTGCTCCCGCAAGCATAAACACATACTGACCCTCCTGATCACATTTGTTCATCGCACGTTTAATGTAAGGGGCTGTTGGATCCCAAGAAAAAGATTGACAGGAAATGATTTTTCTGGGAAAATGCCCATTTCCGCCGTTTGAATCCAAAATCTGGGGCAGGAATATTTTTTATTTTTATTTTACCAAAAATCATTTCTTTATTTGGAATCCAAAATAGAGAAATTACTATTCTCCCTTCAGCTAAACATTTAATTTTTATGGTCAATTTTCCTTATTGTAACCTCCATGTGAAAAAGATAAAGGAAAGAGTTTACATGGAGCCGAGCTTCTAAACAATCAAATTAGAGCTCACCTCAAAATTTTCACTTGAAGAGATTGTTTTGAAGTCCAAATATGCTCAAATTAATCATGTCAACATCAAAGTACATGGACTTGAGAAAAAAATGTATTTCAAGTTTTGGAAATAGTGCATATTTAAATGCATTTTTTTACCGTCAATTTTCAAGATTTTCAAGCTTCCATAGATCTAGTCGATCTACACTATTTTTTAAGCTTTGAAATTTATAATTAAAGACTCATCAATATGCACCTAATAAAAATATTAAAAAAAAACAATCATTCGTATAAAATAAATAGACCAAAATACCCCTAAAATATTTAAGGATATTTTGGTCAATTTATTTTATGCGAATTATTTTTTTGATGTTTTTATTAGATTCCAATTTTTTGAAGAATAGACACTCTAAATTTCAAGTGACTTGAATTTGTAAAAAAATAAATCAAAATTCAATCACGAAATACAACTGTGATTATTGGATCGCCCCAAATTCAATTCGGCTCATAGGGCTTACACTGTTTCATCAGCCCATTTGAAGTGTGTGTACATAAAAAATAGGCGAATCTATAAAAAATATCAAAAAAAATATTTTATGTGAAAAACATTGACCAAAATACCCCCGAAAAGTTTTGGGGACATTTTGGTCAAATTTGTTTTCATGAATTATTTTTTATATATTTTTATTAGGTGCGTCTCACTAAAACGTATACACGATCCAAATTAAAGATCATTTGGAATTGTATAAAAAAAATGAAAAATAAAATACTACCAGACAATCGTGACCGTACGATGAACTTTGGAAGGTGATGAGGGTAGAAAAAATCACTGTTCATTTCGCCTATAGGCGTTGGGAA